TTTTTTAGTTTTATGTGTGTTTACAGTTTGCATTTTTATAGAAAAGTTCATTGTGTTTTTGTTTTTTTTTTTACCTGTGCTTTTACAGTTTGTATTGTTAGAAACATGTTTATAGTTTGATAATAATAAATCTAGTCCATTTGGATTCAATATTCAGTTGCTTTGTGTGGTCATTTTTTGGAATGGGAAATATATAGAGGTCTGGTTGAACTGTTGTATTTGGATGTATTGAACACCATTAGTGATATACAAATGAAATATATAATTTTTACATGAGAAAAATCAAATGGCACACATGGTACCAAACTGTGCCAAAATATGCCAAAATAGCCATTTTGGAGACCTCGTCTGAATTTTCTGTACTAAAACCTCTCTAATATTCTTCTGCTTCACTTTAACAGAATCAGCCTTTGCAGAGATAATGTCCACATTAGTGCTGCACGATTGATCGCAATTGCAATTGCAATGTCAGGCTGTGCGATTACATAACCGCACAAAAGGCTGCGATTTGCGATTTAATGTAAATAAATGTTAACGTGTGTGCCTGTGAACGTGACTACCTCTCCTGTGGTGTGTGGAGTTTGCTGACAATACGCCCACAAGCTATCCTGGTGTGTGCAGCACGTATGGTCATGTGACCACCCGGCGTGCAGCAGTGACCAACATAGACGCTGAAGAAGAGCATGAGCACAACCATGAACAGGCTGAGTTGGTGGCGAAAAAAAAAAATGCAACGTCTATTATATGGCGATACTTTGGATTCAGGTACGGAGGCGTTGAACAGAAAGATGTACTGTGTAAATGTTCAAAAGTTAAGTTGCCACGTCCCGCAGCAACACGACCAATCTATAGCAACACTTGAGAAAGCACAGAGAAAAGTAGGAAGAATGCATGCGAGAGAAAGCCGAGCCAAGTAACGTTAATATGCACAGAGGGTGATCTACAAATATTTCTTGATCTGCACGTTTCATAATTAAGTGTGTGAACAGATCGACAATCTGTGTGTAAATGTGTAATCTCTAAATATAAAACACATTCCACAAATACAAAAAATATCTGTGAATACATTAAATTAATTTGCAAATAAATGAAAAGCATTTGTGAATATCTCACTAACATTTACAACTTTTGAACAGGCATTTGTGAGCTCAGTTTTTATTTGTGAATCGAAAAAACATTTGTGGATCTCAGTTCTAGGCGGGTGGATTTGCTTTTTACACACACGGATTTTTGAGACAAACTTTCCGCCGGTCCGAATGAAAATGCACTCGTATCACTCGGCCATCTTCGGATAGCACGTGATCACCCAGCTGATGACGTCATTTCTGCATGTGAAAATAAGAACACGCAGTCTTTCTATGAGCTGTTTTTTGTTGTTGTTTTTTAATAATAATCAGCGATAAGTAACATGCATTTATTGTTTTATGTTAATGTCATACAGTTTGTATTAGTGTGTGTTTATTTGTTCTATGTATCTGGCACACACTTTTGTATACATTCTAATATATTTTATGAGAATGAATGAATGGATAAATAATATTTCCTTTTTAGGAAATGGTGCCCCATGTAATTAAATATTAATTAAATTATATAACTCTGATTCCAAAAAAAGTTGGGTTGCTGTGTAAAATATAAATAAAAACAGAATGCAGTAAGAGGGGTGGAATTTGAGAATCTGCAGGCTGGGTTTTTATTCCGCTATTTCTCGGTCCCCAAGCAGGATGGGGGGCCTCGGGAGAACATATTAAAGGTGCTTGTATGATAATGATTGTTGGAGTATACATCCATAAAGGTGTTTTTTTTTTTATCATGAACGCATCGATGGGATAGACTGAAACACAGAGAAAATCAGCAACTTATTTTGCTATTTTGCTGCAGTGAAACCCATAAATTTACCCCTTTCCAGTGTACTCTTCATTGTGTTGTGAACAATGCACAACATACTGCTAAAACTTCTGATTTTGATCAGAAAGATGTAGATGCACAAAATCTTATTCAGTACTTTGCAGTTACACACCATGCCTAATAATCCTGGTGTGTACATGTGCACTGATGGACATTAAATAAATTATTCTGGTCTCATTAGCATATTTTGTTTAAGGGAGTAGAATTGATGTTATATCACGTTAAAACTGCTATAACAATCCACCATTACACATATAATGTATGTACATGTGTATGTATATATATATATATCTATATATATATATGTATGTATGTGTATGTGTGTGTATATAATATGAAGTTGTGAGTGAAAGTATACATACATATTTTTATCTATTTGTATGTACATATATATTGTTGACTTGTTATGAATACATTACCGGGACAGACAGCCACTTTTTACTTCTGATTTTCACGTATAATGAAAAAACGAAACCAAGAAGTTATCCTTTTTCATCTTCATAGTGCTGTGAACAATACACATCTTGCTGCTAAAGTTGCTGATTTAGAGTTTACTGTGAGCGTACTTTGCAGTCACCAATATCATTTAAAATAATGACTGTTTCTTAATTCCTTTACCATCTGCAGCCAAAATGAAATAATGTTTCTTTTAATTGTGTAGTAAAAATCAGTCAAAAATTCCTAGTCCTCTTGCAGTAAACACAGAGATGTTGTGTTTCTGAAACACAAACAGTAAATAACACACAATGAAATTATGATCCTACATTTATTTACAGACATTCACACAGAATACATACAGTTTGAGGGACTAATCTGCACACTGAGTTGTATGTTCAGATACTATCTGTGTATGACAGTGACAACTTTGATATAAATATATGCTATAAAGTGGAAAAGAGATGCTAATCTTAAGTGTAAAAGTATGTTATTAGATCCATGTCAGCAAGTCAATAATGAGTCAGAAGAGCTTAAAATGAGTAAAATCACCTTGAAATATTTTCCCAGAAATTATCATTTTGAAAGAAGTTCGAAACCAGGTGTAAAAGAAACCATAGACAAATGGATTGAGCATTGAATTTGACCAACCAAACCATTTAAATGAAACAATCACAGAGGCTGGTATTGCATTATCAGTCAGAGGATTAAAGGTGAAACAAAGAAAGAAAGGAGTCCAACATATGAGAAAAACTCCCATAACAATAGCCAGAGTTTTGGTGGCCTTTCTCTCCATCTTACTGATGGTTGCTCCAGACTTTGTGTTCTGACAGGTTGTGTTCTGGATGCTGCGTACCTGTCTCTGTGACACCATAAAAATCTTTAGGTAGATGGTGAACATTACAATACCTGGGAGGTAAAATGTTAAAAGAGTTGCCATTACTGAACTTGCTAAATTTGTATGTTGAAAAAAAAGACACTTGTTAGATTGTTCTTCATTCAGTCCCCGTATTGTGACACCAATTCCATTTAGTGCAGAAACAGTCCAGCTCACTAGGATCATGATCACAATTACATGGACAGTTATTTTAGTTCTGTACCTCAGAGGCTGACACACTGCATAATATCTATCAACAGAAATAAAGCACAGGTTCAAAACAGAAGATGTGCACAAAAATATATCAAAGCAGCGTCGGACTTTACAGAGCAAACCTTCAAGATGCCAACATGAGCTTACAGCCAGTAATGTGCTAAAAGGCAAAACTACAACACCAACAAGCAGGTCAGCCACAGCCAGAGAGAGGATGAGGTAGTTTGTAGGAGTGTGGAGCTGTTTGAAGTATATGATAGAGATTATTACCAGAAGGTTTCCACACATTATAAGAACTGATNTTCAAACTGATAGACCACTCTCTTGAATAAAGATAGGGATAAAGCTCTATAAGTGACCAGATTCCTCTGATCTGCAACACTGGAACACAACACAGCAAAGACTGCACTGAAACCATGTAAGGTTTTTACAGTAAGTCTTTTAAGCCAGGCTTGTCCTCATTGGAAGACCACCTGCAAACAGCAAAACAAAGCAAATCTTCTCTCCATTCATGAACTGGTAACAGAACAACTTGGCATAGCATTGGTACAACAGTACAAGCTAAGTAAAACTGTAACATACATTGATGAGCCATTTTGCAATTTTATTTTTGTGATTTATTTGTACTCAGGTTATTGGCTTTCCCAAAAGTAAAATGATGGTAGTTAGCTCATGTTCCAGAGTCTTACATGCCGCTTAACATCCTTTTTACTGACCCAGCACCTCAATACAACTTGGCTCACACATACAGTACAGGCCAAAAGTTTGGACACACCTTCTCATTCAATGCGTTTTCTTTATTTTCATGACTATTTACATTGTAGATTCTCACTGAAGGCATCAAAACTATGAATGAACACATGTGGAGTTATGTACTTAACAAAAAAAGGTGAAATAACTGAAAACATGTTTTATATTCTAGTTTCTTCAAAATAGCCACCCTTTGCTCTGATTACTGCTTTGCACACTCTTGGCATTCTCTCCATGAGCTTCAAGAGGTAGTCACCTGAAATGGTTTNTGAATACATTACCGGGACAGACAGCCACTTTTTACTTCTGATTTTCACGTATAATGAAAAAACGAAACCAAGAAGTTATCCTTTTTCATCTTCATAGTGCTGTGAACAATACACATCTTGCTGCTAAAGTTGCTGATTTAGAGTTTACTGTGAGCGTACTTTGCAGTCACCAATATCATTTAAAATAATGACTGTTTCTTAATTCCTTTACCATCTGCAGCCAAAATGAAATAATGTTTCTTTTAATTGTGTAGTAAAAATCAGTCAAAAATTCCTAGTCCTCTTGCAGTAAACACAGAGATGTTGTGTTTCTGAAACACAAACAGTAAATAACACACAATGAAATTATGATCCTACATTTATTTACAGACATTCACACAGAATACATACAGTTTGAGGGACTAATCTGCACACTGAGTTGTATGTTCAGATACTATCTGTGTATGACAGTGACAACTTTGATATAAATATATGCTATAAAGTGGAAAAGAGATGCTAATCTTAAGTGTAAAAGTATGTTATTAGATCCATGTCAGCAAGTCAATAATGAGTCAGAAGAGCTTAAAATGAGTAAAATCACCTTGAAATATTTTCCCAGAAATTATCATTTTGAAAGAAGTTCGAAACCAGGTGTAAAAGAAACCATAGACAAATGGATTGAGCATTGAATTTGACCATCCAAACCATTTAAATGATGCAATCACAGAGGCTGGTATTGCATTATCAGTCAGAGGATTAAAGGTGAAACAAAGAAAGAAAGGAGTCCAACATATGAGAAAAACTCCCATAACAATAGCCAGAGTTTTGGTGGCCTTTCTCTCCATCTTACTGATGGTTGCTCCAGACTTTGTGTTCTGACAGGTTGTGTTCTGGATGCTGCGTACCTGTCTCTGTGACACCATAAAAATCTTTAGGTAGATGGTGAACATTACAATACCTGGGAGGTAAAATGTTAAAAGAGTTGCCATTACTGAACTTGCTAAATTTGTATGTTGAAAAAAAAGACACTTGTTAGATTGTTCTTCATTCAGTCCCCGTATTGTGACACCAATTCCATTTAGTGCAGAAACAATCCAGCTCACTAGGATCATGATCACAATTACATGGACAGTTATTTTAGTTCTGTACCTCAGAGGCTGACACACTGCATAATATCTATCAACAGAAATAAAGCACAGGTTCAAAACAGAAGATGTGCACAAAAATATATCAAAGCAGCGTCGGACTTTACAGAGCAAACCTTCAAGATGCCAACATGAGCTTACAGCCAGTAGTGTGCTAAAAGGCAAAACTACAACACCAACAAGCAGGTCAGCCACAGCCAGAGAGAGGATGAGGTAGTTTGTAGGAGTGTGGAGCTGTTTGAAGTATATGATAGAGATTATTACCAGAAGGTTTCCACACATTATAAGAACTGATGAACAGCCAACAAAAATACATAATAAATATGATGTTATGACTGCTGTTATGCCAGATACATTTGTAGATTCATTACAGAGATCATCAGACCTGTTGAGAAAGAATGTGGTTTCCATGCATAAATGATCTTACTACTGAGGTAACATTTGCCTTACAGTTAGAATAGTTAGAATAAAACACATCAGTATAAGTTTTCTGCATACAGATTCAAAGGTTGATTTTAGTGCTCATATGTTTCACACCATGCCTGTTAATCCTGTGCATCTGTTTGTGCATCTGCACTGATGGGGTCCTTAGCCTCTTTCATGCTGAGCAGTATCTTCAGAGTAGATTTATTCTTCTGGGCTCATTTATATATTATGTTCAGGGGAGTGGCATTCAGTGTCAGTCAAAATTATGACTTATCATAGAACTGGGGAGTCCAGTTGAATGCTCCCCAGAGATTTTTTTTTATAAACAAGCTCTATCTTAATGGGTTATTTGTACAGTCAAACACACTTTTTTTTGTCCACAGTCAGCTGCCAACCTTTAAGCAAGTGCTGTAGTTAACTTCTTCAGTTTAGTTTCATCCACAGGTCTGTGGCCATTCGCACACTCCAAAATAGCATTTTTCCAGCTTTGGCAATGCAATTGCCCGTTGACATCAGTCTGATTAGCACCACTTGTATGCTCAGCTCATAGGTGGTAGCAATTCCAAGATGGTTTAGGGACCCCAACATGCAGGAAATATTCAGATACAATATTCAATTCAATTTTATTTATAAAGCCCAATATCACAAATCACAGTTTGCCTCACAGGGCTTTACAGCATACAACATCCCTCTGTCCTTTGGACCCTCACAGCGGTTAAGGAAAAACTCTCCAAAAAAAACCTTTAACGGGGGAAAGAAACGGTAGAAACCTCAGGAAGAGCAACTGAGGAAGGATCCCTCTTCTAGGACGGACAGACGTGCAATAGATGTTGTACAGAACAGATCAGCATAATAAATTAACACTAATCCGTATGACACAATGAGACAGAAAGAGAGACAGAGAGAGAGAGAGAGAGAGAGAGAGAGACAGAGATGCAGGTCAGACGGTAATGACAGTAGCTTACAGCAACATTAATGAAAGTAATAATATTATCATTATAGTTCTGGCTACTGTGGTACAATATGTTGAAAGTATATATTAGTATCTGGCAGTATACATGTGTGACAATAATCATATGTGTATAATAACAGTAGAAGTATGACTAATGACTAATGATGGCAGCAGCAGCAGGAGGCATCTGGCAGGACCACGGCAGCAGCACAACCACACACGTCACGCTNAAAAAAATATTATTATAATATGAAAATCACCTTTACTTGTGGGGGATTGTCGTCGCCATGCCCTCAGTAAGATGGGTCAGGAACCCAACAACGCCATGTGACAAGAAGTATGTGGAAACTTAATTTTTTTTCTTAATATGATTTCCTAAGGTGTCTACTCACATATCATTGATATATAAAACATGTATAGTATTTAGAAATGTATTTTTAAGTGGAAAATGACAAGCATACACTTTGGCAACTATTGTTGCCGGTGGGCTTAAATGGGTTAGTGATTGCTACAAAGTTTTCACTCCTTGTGATGCACTCTCTGTGGCGGTTTTCCTCCTGGTGATATATCAGGTAGCACAGAATCCCATTCTGTGCAGCAAAATGATTCCACCTCCAAAGGCATAGGTTGGCAAGCCCCACAGCTACACCATCAATCCTCCCCTGACCTCCGTATCCCCTCGGCCCCTTGCTGTTCCGCTGCCTTGGAGGATTCAGCCTCTCTTCTCGCCCGCTCAGCATCCAACACCTGGAGTTCCTCATCTGTATACTCCGGCTCAAGCAGGTATGGCTCTGGATCTGTGTCCGCTACAAGAAACTCTTCAACATCGCATTTCAAAGTCGTCCATTGCAGCTACTATAGTCCGGAGATATAGTTAGGCTAATAAACAACTGAGTTTTGTTTACAGGCTACGTCTGTGCCTGTGCCTGCTCACCGGTGTATCCCTCCGCAGATCACAGCGCAGGACGTAAACACACTATACTTCCGTGTATCAAACTTCTTCTAAAACGACTAAAAAGGACTCTTTTTTTGTTTTTTAAACAATATAAATACCAAAACATTTCTTATTAACATTAACATTTATTGAAACATCGGTGTTTCCCCTACCATGCCTTATGTTATTTATCTTGTGTCATTTCTGTCTCTATATGGTGGCACGTATACAATTCTCCTCTGTTGTCTGTAACGCGCACAGCAGAGTTCAACCCCGATGCGTGCACAAACACACACAAACACGTGCACACACACACACACACACACACACAGGTGGGCGGCTGCATTTTCCGACCCAAGCGAGACAATTATAACCGACTCCGGTGCGAACCTGCAGCATGGCACTGTGTACGCAGTCAATCGAGTGGAGCCTGTGTTGCGTTCAGGTGTTGTCATGTAAATAATGACACACACACACATCCGTAGTTTGAGAACCAGCGATTTATGGCAAATGGTCATGTGTAGGGTGACCATATTTCGATTTCCAAAAAAGAGGACACTCGGCCCGGCCATGAGATAGCCTACTCGCAGTTTACTCAAACATGCCTTATAATTTTAATATACGGTATTTAAAGTTTATATGTATGGATAGAAAATTCAGTTATATTACAAAATAATATCTCTCAAAGACAGAAATTCAGATAGGCTTCTCAGAGGTTACTCAACTTGCTTTATTTATGCCTAAAATAATAATCTTTTTACGTTTCCATTGTACAAAAATAAATATAAATGTAAAATAATGTAAAATCTCTAGAATGAAATAATTATAGAAATAATGTCTCTTCTGTTTTAGAAAAATCAACTTGTAAAATAATAGCTCTCTAACTGAACAAATAAATAAATAATATGAAATAATGTTTTAAATAATACCTCTTCTGTATTAGAAAATCCAACTTTAACAAAATATCTCTCACTACCTTTTCAGTGTAATGTAAATAATAAAACAGTAGCCTCACAAGATATTAATTAAACAAACAAAAATGTCTGTACTCAAATCTTTAGTTCTCTTATTCATCATTGTTGCTCAACAAATGAGCATGAAAGTCTTTGGAAGAAGTGTCTTTGAAATCGTATTGCACATACTTCAGTCTTTAGTTCTCTTCTTCATCCTGGTTTTCTTCTTCATCCCCCTTGTCTGCCCATCCATATTTTGCTGTAGAGCTGATCTTTCCCAGCAGTTTTCGGTTGCTCAACATGTAAACATGAAAGTCTTTGCAAGAATAGTCCTTGAAATTGTATTGCACAAATAGAATCCCCTTCAGTGACGCAACAGAGAGCTGGTTCCTCTCCTTTGTCCACTGGCTCTGCATCAGTGAGAAAACCCTCTCAACATTTGCATTATGAGAGGGAAGTGCAAAGACAAACTGTGCAATCTTCAGTAGTTCTGAGTAACATGCAATGCTTTTGGCCTTCTCAAAATATTTGGTCGACTTCTGGTGCACCTGCAGGCCAATGAACTCCTCATCACTGTTGCACCTTTCTGTGAATTTCTTCAGATTGGTGACCTGGTCAAAACACTTGACATCATCAATTGGCACCCCCTTCTCTCCAAGGTACCTGATGCAGGCCTCCACATCATTCCAATCTGGTGGCTCACTCAGATCCATGCACATAAATGTTGAGAACTCTTCCATGGGAGTCATCCACTTCTCCAGATACTCCAGGCATGCACTGTACAGGCCTTGCACATCAGCACAGAACTGGTCACAGCCCTTACCAAGTCTGTCTCTGTGCTTTTCTGCCAGTAGTCCCTTAACTTTAAGGGACATGAAGTTGTTGCTCTTGCGTTCAAGAAGAATGGTGTGGATGCTGTTCAATATTTTCTTCACCTCCATAATGGAGTTGTTCTCTTTTTCCATGGCTTGAATGTTGGTGTGGAACACAGACATGAATGAGTGCATGTGCCAGAGGTAGATCTCACTGAAGTCATTTTCAAAAAACTTCTTGATCACTTATGGGAGGCTTTTCCTGAGACAGAAAAAATGCTTTTACAGCTGGAAACATCTGTATCATCCTCTCAATGCCTGGGAACAATGACAGCCACCTTGTCTTGCTGTGAGAAAGCATCCTTCTGTACTCAATGTCAACAAAATCACAGTACTCCTTCAGATTCTCAGTGCGCACAGTGTAAATGTGGAAGTACTGGTAGATTTTGAACATGATATTCTCAACGTCAACATCTATTGTGTCTGCCCCATGATGAACACAATTATTCAATAAGTGCGCTGGGCAACCCACACCGATCAGAGTCTCGTTCTGCAGCAATCTCTTCAAATTTGCAAACACATTATTTCCGTCTTCATTACGTCGGATTTCTCCAAAATTTGTGTTGCAATTGTCGCCAGTAAATGCAATGCATTTTTCAGACAAATTGTTTTTTGCCAGTGTTTCAGTGAGGTATTTTGCAATGATTTCTGCTGTCTCATTAGGTGTGTCTTTAACCTCAATTAATTTTGTTTGCACACCACCCTTCTTCCAGTCAAAGTACTGGATTATGATTGGGAATATTTTCACTGCTTCGTGGTTCCTCCCGTCTGTAGAAACACCACAGTACTGGATTTCTTTGAGTGCTTCATGAGCAACTTCAACAGAGTGGGGCGCTATAACACCATTCACAATGGCTTCGGTCTTACTGCGGGCACTACTAAACTTCTTGGCGGTGTCAGAGTCTGGAAATGCCATTTTTAACAAGACACTTGTGCAATCCATGGATCTGTAGCTGTTGTGGTGTTTCACAGTATGAAATGCCAACGCACCCTCCGCTGCATGTACAGCATACTCTGTTTTTCCGGGTCTAACAAAGAACTCAGTCAACTTTGCAGAAGTACTCTCACCTCGAACCGCCTTTTTATGCTTTTCTGTGTCCATGTGAGCTTTGAGGTCCCCAGCACCTTTATTGGACACAGAAACATATGTGCCAGCTTTGCACACGGTGCACTCAGCCTCCCATATGTCCCGACCGGGACGGTAAATTGGAAACTTTTTTTGCAGCTCATCTGTGAAGCTGCATTTACACTTCGGCATCTTGGAAGCTTAGATG